GCCTTTCCTGGAGCTCACTTGGTAGCCCAGGCTGGCCTCGAACTCACAGAGATCCGCCTGGCTCTGCCTCCCGAGTGCTGGGATTAAAGGCGTGCGCCACACCGCCCGGCTTATCATAATTTTAAAACCAGGTATGGTAGCACATACCTATAATGCATCACTTAGGAGGCAGGAGGATCACAAGTTCAAAGCCAGTCTCAACTACATAGTGAGGGATTTTTTTTTTGTTATTATTATTATTTTCTGTTTATTTATTTATTTTTGAGACAGGGTTTTAATATGTAGCCCTGGCTGGCCTGGACTTACAGAGCCATCTGTTCTATCTCTCAAGTGCTGGGATTAAAAGTGTGTGACACTCTGACCAACACAAAGATGATTATTGTAGTTTTTAAGATTATGTGTCTGGATCCCATGGAGACCAGAGAAAGGCATCAGGTGCTCAGCAGCAGGAACTATAAGCCCCTGTGAGCCCCAATAAGGGTGCTGTGAGCTGAAATCCAGTCCTTTGCAAGAACAGCAAGAACCCTTAACTGTTGAGCCATCTAAAAGGAATTTGAGGTTGGCTCAGACTACTTTAGATCCTTGTCTCAACAGACCAAACAAAGCAAAACAAAATGTATATATGCTTAATGTTACATCTATTGATTTAGAAGTATCATTACAGATGAAGTGTAACTCGATTTTAAACCAGTAAGGAAAGGGAAAAGGAGGAGGGAGGAGGAGGAGAAGGAGGAGGAGGAAGAGGAGGAGGAGAAGGAGGAGGAGGAAGAGGAGGAGGAGGAAGAGGAGAACAACAACAACAACAGAGATTCTTCACTTCATTTGTCTCACGTATTTTTTTCAAGAAATCTTTTGAGATTTGTATGGGATTAGTCTGAGGACTACGTGCACACAGTGCTTGTGGAGTACAGAAGAAGACATCAGACCCCAGTGGAACTGGAGTTAGAGATGGTTGTAAGTCACCATATGGGTTCTGGGAAGTGAATTCAAGTCCTTTGCAAGAGCAGTCAGGGCTCTTTTTTTTTTAAAAAAAAAGAATTTTAATTTACTTATTTTTATTTTATGTGCATTGGTGTTTTGCCATGGCTGTTGGGTCCCTAGAACTGGAGTTACAGACAATTGTGAGCTGCCCGTGGGTCCTGGGAATTAAACCCAGGTCCTCTGGAAGAACAGTCAGTATTCTTAACCACTGAGCTATCTCTCCAGTCCTGCCTCATGTATTTTTTTTTTTAATCAGCCACCATCAAAGCACAAAGTCAAAGAGACAGAATCACAGGTGATGAACTAAGAGACAAGAGGGCATAGGCTTCTTCTTATGGACTGTAAATAATAACATTGCCTACTTATATGACGATGTGATCAAAGTTTAAAATCTGTACGATCTTACAAACCCAAAATTTGTGCTCCACATGGTAGTGCACACCTTTAATCCCAGCACTCAGGAGCCAGAGGCAGGTGGATCTCTCTGAGTTCAAGGCCACTCTGGTTTACATAGTGAGTTCCTTTTGAGACAGCCAGGGCTACATAATAGAGAGACCCCGTCTCAAACAAAACAAAACAAAAAACAAACAAACACCCCCACTCCAAAAAAAAAAACAAAGAAACAAAAACCAAACAAACCAGAAATTCTCTGAAAATAGTCAGGTAAAATGTATGGAAGGGTGTTTACTATTAGGTTGCTCAAATGGACAAAATATGTAATTTAAGTGTGTACCTTGGAGAATCAGAAAATTATGGTAGCGTCACAGCAAGGAATGCCAACCAGCTAATAACTGATGACAGACTACCAACTCACTGATTGGTTAGGAAAAAAATAAGCAGCCTTGTATGTGAATACCAAGGGAAAAAGATGATGATATATGTAAAACAGCAATGATCTCTTCATGTTGGAATTATTAGTACTTTTCCTTTCTATTGGCATTTTGTTATACCTTAATGCAATGACGTAAGTTACTAATACACTGCCCAACCAGATGGGTAAAGAACAGAAAACCACATGGTCAATGTATATCAGTGGGAATTCCTTTTTTGGTTTTTTGAGACAGGGTTTCTCTGTGTAGTTTTTGTGCCTGTCTTGGATCTCACTCTGTAGACCAGGCTGGCCTCGAACTCACAGAAATCCGCCTGGCTCTGCTTCCCAAGCACTGGGATTAAAGGTGTGTGCCACCACAGCCCAAAACAGTAACTTTTTAAAAAAAATTTATTTTATTTTATTTTTATCCTCATTTCTCAAGAGTTCTGGGGTAAATAAGTGTGGGGGCTGGTCCCCCACAGATGGTGCCCAAACAGGAGCAAAGAAAAAGATTAAAAAAATAACCCTAGGGCTTGGTGAAAGGATTGAAGGGGGCATTGCAAGTGTAGACATGCCAATAAGGAATTGAAAAATGAAGGCAATGGTATTTTATTCTCGGGTGTATAGGTTAGGTGGTGAGGAAATATCGCAAGGCCACAGTGTTAGATTTATCTCTATAGATCTCTGCTGTGGGATGGTTTGTATGTCAAATTGCTCTGATTGGTCAATAAATAAAACACTGATTGGCCAGTGGCCAGGCAGGAAGTAGGTGGGACAAGGAGAGAGGAGAATTCTGGGAAGCGGAAGGCCGAGGCGGAAAGACACTGCCAGCCGCAGCCATGACCAGCAGCATGTGAAGACGCCAGTAAG